GAATGCAGCTGCCGACGTAGTTGCAGGACGCGGCGGAGATTCAACATGAGCGTGTTCAAACGCCGATCTTGCTTCCTGAGGTGGCACCTGTGTAGCAGTGTAGCTCTTCGTGTCAAATGTGGTGTGAGTCACCTGGGTAGAAAACGAAGTCGGCGGCACTGCAGCAGGAGGCGGGGGCGTTGACTGAATATGGGCTTGCTCAAAAGGCGATTTCATCTCCTGCACGGGCATCTGAGCAGCGTTGAAGCTCTTGGTTTCCAGCTCATTACTCCAGCTCGCTGCCGGTGGGGCTGATGGCGGCGGCATGCTGGTTTCCAAGTTCGTCTCAAATGCACTAGCAACAGGTGCTTGAGTCGCAGTTGCACTCGAGATATCTAAAGGCGGTGGCTGCGTAGGCGGGGCTGTCGTCTTCGCAACAGGCGACGCGAATGCATCGTCATCATCTCCCCACGCAAACTCGTCCGCCGGAGCTTCCGCGGCTGCAGCTGCTGCAGCCGCTAGCGCCGGAGTCGTTGTCGGTTTAGCTTCGGCATCGTCGGTTGGATTCGAAAGCACCGTCGAGGGCGAGTCGCAGTTCCATCCGTCGTCACTGTACAGATCTTCAGCGTCTTCCATCGAGAACAGTTGCGTCGGCTTGGATCCAGTCGTTGTAGTACTCGTCGTAGTACTTGTCTTTACGCTTGAACTAGCAGTAATAGGAACTGGAGGAGCCGGAACGGCCGTACTAGCCACTCCTGTCACGTTCAATCTTCCGCCACTAATACTCGTCGTCGTCGAGTTTGTCGTCGTCGTCATAACATTCTTGTTGATACCTGCAATACTCAGAGATCCAACCGAGGGCATGGGCGGGGGCGGGGGCGCCCGCTGGCTGCCTAATCCGCCAATAGGTGGCGGCCTCCACCCGGATGACGAGGATGCAGATGATCCCTGGGCCGAAGCGGACGCCGGTCGCATAGTCATGCTATTATAACTGCGGTTGCTGCTGGTGCTAGCGCTGCTTCCTGTGCGGCTACGCGACGCGTTGTCGATACCCAGTGACGCAAAGAAATCCTGGTGAGCTGCGGCGTTCGCGGGCTTCTGACGAAGCCGCGTGCCCGCACTAACGGGTCTGGCGCGGGTGGCCCCGGCGTTGGAAATTCCTGGGGGAGCACCAGTGGTGGGCGTTGACCCAGCGGCGGCGGAGAAGAAGCCGCGGCTCCCGTCCATCGTCACTCACTCTCCCTTGGATGCGGTTTCAATTTTGAGGCTTTTATATCATTCTTTTGACGTTGCTTTCTTTACCTCGAAATAGTGACAGATGACGTGGACCAGACCCATATATTGCAGGCTAAATAACTTGATTGGCTAAAACTTAAGTAGTAAGGCATTCTCTCAACCAATTACTATTAATTGACTATTAATGTTGATAATAACTACCAAAATCAGATTTGTCTGATTCTGATAATCAGCAGAAACGCAAGTTTAAGTCGGATATTTATCAGAGTCAGACCGGACCTGATTCGATAACCATGAATTCTATATTAGAATTTCGATGAATAGTA